AAAGTATACCAATTTATGACAAAACTAACAATCAGTCAAGTGTTATCACCGAATGACTTTATTCTTATCACGACATGCCACACATGATTTCCACAAGAAAAATGGTGCATCTCAAGTCGTGGATCCATGACGTCACATGTGATGCGTTCATAAGCATTGGTTCACACAACATACCAGTACGTTCGTTTGTGTATCGAACCAAACTTCTATCTCTTGAATATGAGTAAGTCTTCATATATCAACCAACATGTATGGTATTCGCTTTTCGTTTGGCGGTGAGTATATATGGTGTGCATTACATCCTTGGAGCTGTACATGTAATAGTATCTGGCAACACCCTGCTGGGAATCAGCTAGAAGCACTCCCAGCACTCTGTTTGATGTGTAGCATGGCCAGCAATAGGATACTGTGATGACATAATACGCTGCAACACCCAGTCAACCTGGCCATCCTACCCTGCCAACTCAGCCACAACACAGCAATGGTTACAGAAAAATCGCTAAAAATAACGATAACATTTTTACCTTTTCCACATATAACAAATTTGGCAAATTTCTTCCAGCATAAAAACCCTCTTGCATGTTAAGAAACAATTCTTAGGGTTGCTTCCAGACTTGACCATTTATTTATTTGTGTTTATTAAAGACTGGAGAACATTTTCTTGCCCAACACACTACTCTGTTCTCTATTATGTATGTTGTTGATATTGTGCAGCTTGAACGTAAACTGTTTTTCAGTTTACCTGACTGAAAGTCAACAGAGCTTATTATGCTTATGTCGTCCATCGTGTGTCCAAAGATAATTGTTTTAATTTTCTACATCACCGGCTATGAAGATGAAATGCAAGCATGGTAACATGAATGATCCCAGCAATAGTGCTTCACAGAATTCCAATCAAATTATAAAATGTAACTTTTGCCCATTATTCAGAATTTTCTTTATCTCCTCTGAAAGTTCGCGGTTTATGAAGCTGAAATTTTATGTACGTGAGCCCAGCAGGGTTTTCTCTAAAATGTGCTGACAGAATTCCGACCCGATGAAAGATATGGTTGTCATTTTGTAATAACTTCAACTTTAATGTATCGTTGTGAGTGAGTATGGTTTTACGCCACTTTAAGCAATATTCCAGCAATATCACGGCGGGGGACACCAGAAATGGGCTTCACACATTGTACCCATGTCGGGAATCGAACCCGGGTCTTCGGCATGACAAGCGAACGCTTTTACCAATAGGCTACCCGACCGCCCCGTATCGTTGTGACATGCTTAACATGCAATAGTGTCTCCCTGCATAGGTGGTCATGCATGTAAATGTAATTCTATGAACATTCTGAGAGGTTGTCTCTTGTGTACAGAGCTCAAGATGAGCTAAATATTTGCATAAAAAGTGCACAACTCATCACCATAACCCAAATAATGTTGAGCTGCTTGCGTACAAATATGTATGAAAAACTTTAAAAACCAAAAGTGTAATAAGGACTGTGCATATTAACCTAATGTGTATTTGTTTGTTGTTTAATGCAGTACTCTGCAATGTTTCAGCTATATGATGGCGGTCTGTAAATAATTGAGTCTGGACCACATAATCCAGTGATTTTATCATGAGCATTGATCCACGCAATTGGGATACGATGACATGCACTTCCCAATCCCATTAGTCGCCTTTCATGGCAAGTATTGGTTGCTGAAGACCAATTCTAACCCGGATCTTAATGGGACTATTAACCTTATGAGGCTTTTCAGCTTACTCTCCTGTATGAATTTACCGATATCTGTTTACCGAATGAATGCAGGCATCTCCTATACATGAACTCTACTGCAGTGAATAATGTAAATAAGTGCTCTACAGACATCACTGTTGTGAGCTTGTGTGATATCACATGGACGGAAGCAAATTAGAAGTCTCCTGAAACAGTGTTGTAAGCAGACTATGTTTTGAAAGGTTCACTCACTGGTTTAAACACGCCAAATAGATACTACTCAGGGGAGTGAAAATACTATCAATACCCAAAGTAGATGATAACATGGAAGTAAATAGTCAATGCCTGAAACCATTATCTGGAGCCCTGTGTGTATGAACTTCTGTCAATTCCTTTGCTTGCCCTTCTTATCTTTGTATGACCTTTTTGATCTAAAATAATATTCACTTCAGGTGAGCTACAGAGCCTTGTGGCTCTATATTTTAATTATGATTAAATCAAGGGAAAGTTTATGACCATTGCAATCAGTACAAAAACACCATGTTAACAGAAAAAAAAGTAATGATAGGCTTGGGATTTTATTTTGAATTTTATTAATGCCTCAGGTTTTTCCACAAAATCATTGTTTCCTGGATATGCTAGATGTGCTCAAAGTTTTGTCTTGAAGATGTGACTAAATTATTTGCAGGCTGCGTTGATCATGTCACAGCTGAAACATTCCTTGACTTTGGCCTTAAACAACATTCTTCTCTTCTAACTGTGCTAATAGTAAGGCCAATGTATTTTCCCCCTGTCCCCTCTATTGCAAAAGCACTGTTAATAGTGTGGCAATTACTGGTTACCTTGCACTAAATTGTTTCTGGCTCGACAGAAACACTCACCATGCTTTGTGCTTTCATTATTTATTTACCATTAGTATGCTGGTCTCATTTTGTTTGATGAAGTTGACGTGGACGGCCCAGCAATCAGGTGTTTATTGCTCACACCAAGCCTGTATCAGAGAGGTGTAATTGAAGTTTTAGCATGCTCATGCTGCTTTAAACAGTATTTCCCTTCAGCAATATCACAGTGGAGGACACTAAGGATGGTCACTGCACTAGGTATTTATACACTGAAGGAACTGGTCACATGCCCTTGACAAACAAAACCTGGATTGAAGTACTTGTGAGCCCTGGGCTCCCTCAGGTATACTTTTGGGGTCCCAAGCAGGTTCTAAGGGTAATCACTGTGACCTACTTGGCGCCTACTGGCACTCAAGAATTATACACTTACAAGAAGCTTCATGATATCATTGCACCGGCACTTTCAAACTGTACGCTATTCATACACCACACTAAGGCTGGGACGAGTCCAAATTTACTACCCGGGTTCCTACCCCTCTATTACCCGACCCTACTCGGGTAACCACTGTAGGTCTCAAGAGATAGGTACAAATGTCCGATAGGGAATTTACCACAGCCCTGGCAAAGCCTATTTAGATAGATGTATTAAACAATCTGGTCATGCATACTCTGGAGTTGACTAAAGTTATATCCTTATTCAGCCATACGAAAAGTCAGAAGGAATGGGTGCATAGTCAGAAAGAAGTGCGAACATTAGTGACTTGTAGTGTAACCATCAAGTTCTAGATAATTTTTGCCTTTAAACAATATATCACGTGACTAACCATAGGTCCGGGTAGTTCCGTGGGTACCCGGGTCCTACTCAGAACCCACCCGATCCGGGTACCCGAGTTACCCGTCCCAGCCCTACATCACACCTTTTTCATCATTTTGAGACTGGTTTGAAAGCTGTCGTCTTAAAAGCTCTGGATTGACACAAGGCTTAAAACGTGTCCAACATAGTAGGCCCATATCCGACGTTTGGTTCCAATTATAATCTTCTCTGATGACACAAACAAAACTATGCAATACACATTGATATGCATCAGCTTAGAATATGACACATTGTGACTTCACAGCCATTGTCTATGTTGTCCAGATCATGGTGTTTGCTGAATATTCACATCTTAAAAGGTTTGTTGCACATTTTACTTGTTTATGAACCTGAGAAAAATCTGCATTTCGGACTTTTGGATTACTGTAAGGGCTGGACAGAAGCAAAAATAATATGGTTCAGCGACTGTGATACAGAGTACACTGGTCTCAATGGCCAAGGGACTTTATACTTCAAGGCGCAGGGGGGCGTGGCAAAAGGAGGTCGCAAGGAAGCTAGGGGGGTACATTAGAACCAAGTATATTCGTATAGACTTGGAATGTACTAAAGAAAATAAAAAAAAAAATATAACCCTACCTCACTTCTGAATAAGTACTGCAAAACAACATTCTTTCAATAAAAGAAAAGCCTGATACACAGCCAGCATTTTATCACTCACTTTCTGTCAAAGCCAATGTCACTGTTCACCAAAAAATATCTGCAGGACAAATCTGTAGATTCTTATGTTAATATTGACATAATCTGCCATTTTCTGCTCCTTCATGTTCAGTTCAAGTAAGGAGTAAAATAAGGCCAACAAAATAAGGAGACTGGCATTTCATATTTACTAGTACCCTGCAATGCCAACTCTGTTTTAGTTTTAATCATTTTCAGTGGGCATGGTAAGACGAACATAACATTGTTTTTGCCTAACATTAAATATGTCATGTTTGCAGAATGTTGACATTGACCAAAGCAAATAATGATCAGAAGTAATAAGGATAATTCTAGTTGAAAAACATTGACAGTAATAAAACATTTTCACTTTAAAAAGTCAGAAATAACACATCTTACACTGATAAATATCAACCACATAAAAACATTTTAAAGTTTGTTTGAAACTTCAATTAATACCATCTGTGATCAATGACCATGATGACTGTTTTCGTAATGAATCATAAAGTTCTTTTGAGCAATAAAATATTTAAACAAATTTCATATGCTTATGTTATGACACAACAGTTAAGTTCAGTTCTTACAAACGTTTCGCAACAGATGCCATAGGTTGGTAGTAAGTCATGTCAGCTAAATATGCAAATGCATGACCGTGACAACTGGTACGAACTTGCCAAGTCAATATATGTTCATAACGCACATACAATATTGTGCATAGCGATGTTATTATGCGAAAGGCCGTGTTATAATTCGTTACACCATAAAGTTTGGCAACAACGTTTAATTCTGATCGCAGTTATAACATCTTCAATGACAGTCGCGTTGTTATGGTCAATTATATAATTCGGGTTAACACGAACGCAACACTGTTCAAGATGGCTACCGACATTTCGGGTGGAGCGGATGGTCATTCATTGATCTTTGACTTACCAAACTCTTCTGAAGATGATGAACGTTGGTGATACGCCTGTAGAGAAGAGATCATAGACGTATCTAGTGGTTGGGGAAAGTCACAAAAACTCCCATCGGCCATTATTGTAATAAACCTCACTTTTTTTCGGACATAAGAAATCAACAAGGAAGGTCCGAGGCTTGTTACGTCATAATACAGACACAAGCTCGCGTTCTGCCTGCGCAATAGGGTTGGTCCACTTTGAAAGGGGGGCAGGGTTGTTGTTTACCAAACATATGACTTCTTATTACCTTGCTTGGAACAATAACCTTTATTACATCGGTGTTAGTTTCAAGGAAACTCACATTGTGAATTTTTCAATTGTCTCAATGACAATCTAGAAAAATGTAAGCGGTTGGAAATCAAACCTGACACCCCTCTTGACCACTATCAAGGCCACGGACAAGCCGATTGACCAATCACGTGGGTTCATATTTGATAGAGGCTGTCAAGCTCGTTTACGTCTAAACAAAACACTGTGCGATAACAGGCAGTAACGCCGTTCCGCCGTTCCACAGAATTTAATGACCACCATGATTCGAACGTGGGTTTAATGTTTCCAGCATTGTTGGTGCGAAAACAAGAACACTTAAAATTCTAAGTGAAAACGTTTGGCTGGAATTTGTTAATATCTTATATAATTTAAAAGGGGAACTGAATTAATATGTCTGGCCATACAGTTAAATACTTCTTTGGGTGGCATTTTGAAGTTGTGCGGAACAAAAGACACGCTGTCGTCGATAAACACCACTGGCTTGATAAAGGTGAATCTAAACTAAAATTTAGCCTCAATTGTAAAGAGAGGTTGTTTATCCCTAAGGACTTGAACTAAACATTAAACAAACACATGTGTCCGTTCCGCAACGCGATCTTATCACTAAGCCACGACTGTCGATGGTTTGTTTGTTGTTTAAAGCTGCCGCCAGTAATATTCTAGTCATGACGGGTCACAACTGTCCATATCGTTTCAGCAAAGGTTATGCAAACCGTGGCGCTTAGTTATCATTGTGAACACTGCTTATATTAATAAGACTTTCTTCAATTATAAAAAATAGCGATAATTAATCAAAGAATGGAACTAGATTTATGATAAATGTATTAGGTGTTGATCGCTGGAAGATTTAAAGTTAAATTCCATTAACGGACAATTAAAAAAAAATACTATAAAACTGAAAATCTTACAAATATTTAAATAAAACAGATTTTTGATAATTCAGCGAACCTACAGTGAGTACATTTTAGTTTTAAAATCTACTCTTGCTTTTGACCTGGAACTGAAAATTGGACACGGGTCAAAGCACGCCCCCAATCACTTAATTCGAAAGGGGAAAGAAAAATATAAGTGAATCAAACGAAAACACAGAACTGCCAAAAACTGAATACACTGACTTCATACACACGCATGACTGGAAGTATTAAATATTTATCTTAGCTAGTTCTAAGCCCGGCAATACAGGCCCCGGTACGTTACTGGTCAAGTGAACACAAGCGGACAATAACAAGCGAACACATTACTGGGTATTGTGCAACCAACACTGTAAGGGAACAGGACCGTGACATCACTCTGTCAGTCTTTCTATACAGTCTTGACATACGCTCACTCAGCCTGACGTGATGGCGAGGTCCTGTCATTTGTCACACGGGGCTGTGAGACTTGGAAAACTAGGATTAGAAATGTTTGACATCCATGTACGTGTAATTTACAGTGAACATGTGTGCATTCTTAAGTTTCTGTTTGGTTATACCATTTTATCAATTGTTGGATGATTTTAATTCCAAAGCCATAGGTGGTCGAAATAAAATAAAAAAAACACACGCGTTTTGCATATGATCGCTTCTGTGTATTGTGCGTATTGTCGCTTATGTCAATTTAAAAACAATAACTTTTGAAACAATTGTCGCGTCATATGTTATTTCATTTTATTAAAAACACACCGCTCCCCCACATCCCGCAAAACAAATGAAGAAAATGTAAATGTGAAGTAATATTACTTACGATTTTGTAATTTTGGTGTATTATTAGTGAAACGTGCAAAAACGTATTATTGTGAATGCCACGACTGAGAGCCTGTGCTCTATTTAAAGAACTACATGACATGTAACTGATAGAGTTATCTAGGTTATTATCAATAGAAATGGAACAATGCAGGTAACTAACTGCGTATCTCCTGGTATTGATGCCCCGAAGACAAAGGACCCGTGAAGATTCCGGGGTAGAATAGGTCTTCAGCAACCCGTGCTTGCCGTAAAAAGCGACTATGCTTGTCGTAAAAGGCGACTAACGGGATCGGGTGGTCAGGCTCGCTGACTTGGTTGATGCATTTCATCGATCCAAATTGCGTTGATCGATGCTCATGATATCAGTCACTGGATTGTCTGGTCCAGACTCGATTATTTACAGACCGCCGTCATATAGCTGTAATATTGCTGAGTGCGGCGTTAAACAACAAACCAACCAGCCAACAACCAACCGAAGACAAAGGGACATAGTTATCCAGCCGTGTTCGGGTACCCCATGCTTGTTGTAGAAGCGAACTAAAATTTGTTTGTTTGTTGTTTAACGCCGCGCCCAGCAATATTCTAGCTCGTATATGACGACCGTCTGTAAATAATCTTGGTGAAGTGAAATTGTGTTAAACGTCGCGTTCAAGATAACTGCTCTTATGTAGCGACGTGCATGCACGTGTGTGTGTGTTGCTGCTTGTACTAGTCCGGACTAATGCCGATTTATAGTGCTAGCCCATTGAGATACCATGCCACAGTTTAACATGTATAAATACCCCACTCAGACACAGTATACTGACTCCGAGCCGACCAGTCCTTGTTTTAGCTCCCTAATGCCGAGCGCCAGACAGGGTAACAACAAGTAACATCTTTTAACGGCTTTTGGTATGAATCGGGATAGAACCCTAGACCTTCCGGTCCCCGCGCGGACGCTCTACCACTAGACCACGGAGGCGGTCGTTAATAATCTGGACCCTGACCTTCACGTGAGTAGCCAACTAAAAACATGACCTTGGCTGATAGTGTATCATATCTCCATTCCAGTTTGATGAGGCGTGATCGTGTAGCCTAGTTGTTAACGCTTTCGCTCGTCATACCGAAAACCCGGGTTCGATTCCCCACATGGCTGCAATGTGTGAAGCCCATTTCTGATGTCTCCCGCCGTGATATTGCTGGAATATTGCTGAAAGTAGCGTAAAACCATACTCACTCACTCACTTCAATTCTTTATTCATGTACATGTGTAGGCCAGCGGCCCATGGTACAATATTCGGTCCATCATTAACATTTATAGGCTTAGTGTTTGGAGTCTAACATTCACAGCATGGTATATAAAAGTTGCAACATTTCTAATAACAGTTTCATTGTTTACCGCCATAAGCATATTGAATTTAGCAAGAGTAGGATGTACAAAATACTTCTGTGGTAAATACTGAAGACGAAGTTCATCATAGGCGTTACAAATTAATAAAAAATGATATTCATTCTCGACATATCTTTGATTGCAACTATTGCACAATCTCTGCTCTCGTGGAGTATTAACGTATCTACCAGTCTCAACGTGTCTCAACTCCCGATTGTGATCAATAAAAGACCCGATTATTTCCAGGCCACTGTGATATGGTTGACATACTGTGACAGTAGCGTAAAACAACATTCGCTCGCTCTCTGCTGCAGTGTGTGATATCTCAGTAAGCTTTGTTGGCGTAGCCGTTGTTGGTGCTGTCAACTACTGGTGTTATGTCATTTCTACATTAGAATAGCAACTAAAGGGATCGGGTGGTCAGGCTCACTGACTTGATTGATGCAGGTCATCGTATCCAAATTGCGTGGATCACTGCTCATGATATCAATTACTGGATTGTCTGGTCCAGACTCGATTATTTATATTGCTTAGTGCGTCGTTAAACAACAAACAAGCACAAAACTACATTAGAATAATCTCCCATCGGCCATGGATATATATTTATAGAGTTTCCTCGCAATACTTTTTCCGTTCCCTCGCTGAACTATAACGATCAATCGCTATACCTTTTCGCGCTCCGTGTGGATCAAGCACGGGAGATGAATCGGAAACGAGATACAACGTTTTTAGTATCTTTTAACGTGATCGATTTGCTTATGATTAAATCTTGGGGCATTCACAAATGGACAATGTTAACTAGGGATACACGATTCAGAATTCGACAATATTTAAGAAACTTTCTGACAGAACATATGAGAGCATGCGATGACAAGTTGACTGCATATTCATCACTAAGCACACTGGTGTAGTAAATAATTATTGAATCTTCAAGAATGGCACATTATCGAAATGCAATGTTCACCTTGGACACGGCACGTAAGCCCACTCAAACTAACATGGATGATGAGATATTTTCAAATGCTATATATACAATGCCGAACATACATAATAAGACATGTGCTTCGCATATATAACAGAGCGGCATTGTCATGTGTAGGATAGGAGAGCACATTGGCGATAAAGGACGTTACTATATCAGCTGGGGCGGTCGGGTAGCCTAGTGGTTAAGGGTTCGCTCGTCACGCCGAAGACCCGGGTTCGATTCCCGACATGGGTACAATGTGTGAAGCCTATTTCTGGTGTCCCCCGTTCTGATATTACTTGAATATTGCTAAAAGCGACGTAAAACCACACTCACTAACGCACTATGATCCGCTCAAAGTGTTACTGCTGTAGTACAACTGTTGAACATCCAGTGCAAGATATCATAAAAAGCTAGCTCTAAGATCGCATCAGGCTTCTGTACGGTCTGAAGGTATTCATTGGGTAATGATTGATGTATATAATACTCCACACAACTATACGTACATAGGGTGTCCAGATGAGGATCGAATGTGGCGCCTTGCTTGAAGATGGTGTCGTACGAATTATTGCCATGGAACTAACATATTAGGCGTCATTTCAAGTTAAAGTACAGTGAACTACGGTTATAGCGAACACGCTTATAACGAACTGACGGATATAACGAACTTACTTATTTGGTCCCGACTATTTGCTGTAGTTATTCAGTATATATGTTTATAACGAACTACGGTTATAACGAACTAAAATTAGAAGTCCCTTTGAGTTCGTTATAACCGTAGTTTACT